CATTCTCCAGTATAGACTGTGTGTTAGGCCACAAAGCAAGCCTCAATAAATATAAAAACACTGAAATACTGCAAAGCATATTTCAGATCACAATGCTATAAATTTAGAAATCAGCATTAGGAAGACCAATGGAGAAAGAGCGAACACGTGGAAACTGAGTAATACCCTCATCAAAAATGACTGGGTAAAAGAAGAAATAAAAAATGAAATAAAAAAATTCCTTGATGCAAACAAGAATGAAAACACAACACACCAAAATCTTTGGGACACAGCAAAAGCAGCGATCAGAGGGAAATTTATAGCAATAGATGCACACATCAAAAAAGAAGAAAGAGCCAAAATCAACACGTAACCCAACATATCCAACAGTTAGAAAAAGAGCAGAAAAACAAGCCTACAGTCACCAGAAAAAGAGAAATAAAGAGTTGAGTGGGGGGAAAAAATGAAACAGAAAATAGTAGAGAAAATCAACAAGACTAGAAGTTGGTTCTTGGAAAAGATTAATAAAATCAACAAATCACTGGTAAACATAACAAAAGAAAAGAAGGTGAAGATGCAACTAACATGAATAAGAAATGAAAGAGGTGACATCACAATAGAACCAAGAGAAATAGAAAGAATAATATCAGCATACTTGAAGGCTGGTGGTTCAAACCCACCAGCCATTCCTTGGAAGGAAGATGGGACAATCTACTTCCATAGTGATATTGCCTCAGAAACCCAAGGAGGGGTTGCTATGAGTTGGGTCTGACTCAATGGCATATAACAACAATAACATGAAGAACTGTACTCCAACAAATTTGAAAACCTAGAAGAAATGGGCAGATTTCTAGAAACACACTACCTACCTAAACTAACACAGACTGAGGTAGAAAATTTGAACAGATCCGTAACAAAAGAAGAAATTGAACAGGTCATAAATTAACCAACTACAAAAATGTCCTGGCCCAGAAGGATTCCTGGGGAATTCTACCAAATGTTCAGGGAAGAACTGACACCAATCCTACTCAAACTACTCCAGAACGTAAAAAAGGATGGAATCCTCCCAAATTCATTTTATGAAGCAAGCATAACCCTGATACCAAAACCAGGCAAAGAGACAACTAGGAAGGAAAAGTACAGACCAATAGTCCTCAAGAATATAGATGCAAAAACATTAAAAAAAATTCTAGCCAATAGACTCCAACAACATTATCAAAAAAATAATACATCACTATCAAATGGGATTCACACCAGGTATGCAAGGATGGTTCAACCTTACAAAATAAGCAATCCATCACATAAGTAAAATAAAGGAAAAGAATCACATGATCCTATCAACAGATGCAGAAAAAGCATTTGATAAAATTCAACACTCACTCCTGATAAAAACTCTGAGAAAAATAGGTATACAAGGGAAATTCCCCAACATAACAAGGGGCAGATATGCAAAACCAAGAGCCAACATTATTCTCAATGGAGAGAGACTGAAACTATTCTGCATGTGAACAAGAATGAGACAAAAATGTCCTCTATCTCCACTTCTATTCAACATTGCAGTGGAAGTCCTAGCCAGGGCAACAAGGCAAGAAAGAAATTAAAGCCTTCCATATTGATAAGGAAAAAGTAAAACTATTTCTATTTGCAGATGATATGATCCTATATGTAGAAAACCCAAAAAAGAATAGTTATTTTGGCAAATATCTTGTTGTGTATGTTGTCACCACAATAAAAGTAAAAGAAGAAAAAAAAAAGGAAGCATGGCAACATGTTCAATATTTGAAAAAATATTGCAAACAGTACTTGATTTCACAGGCCCGTGATAATAGGCATTTGAGCTTATAATCACATTATAGTGTATGTTAGTTTTTTACATCCTGTAATTTGTAATCTATCATATCCATTTTAACAGTTCCATGTTATTTTGAGTTATTATATTTATTTTCATTACAGGTGTGAGCATGTATGTGTATGATTGTGTGACCTAGATTATGATGTGAAATACTATATACTTTATTTAATGGAAATAGTCAATAATGCAAACTGTATCCCTAGGTCAATTTTTAAAGACTTGTTTCAGTGCTTTAATTTATAATCACACTATATTCATATTGAAAGATTTCAATTTATTCACACATTATATGGCATGCAGCTTCCAGAGAGGTCACAGTACACAGGGTTGTACAAAAAGACCAAATCAAACTGCATTTATCAAGCCTCTCACCTTGCAATACCTAACTTAAATCAGGGTTAATATTCGATAACGATTCTCTGTCACATCTGGTCACAGTGAGATTAAACTGTCTCATTGGTACCTAAAAACCACAACTCCCCTCTCCAGCAAAAAAAGAAATTGATCTTTTCTTTCTATCAGAATTCAGTGTTATGTGGGGATGTTGTTGTTAGTGCTGTTGAGTTGATTCAACTCATATCAATCTCATATACAAAAGAACAGAACATGGTCCAGGTCGGCACGGTCCCCACGATCCTTGCTGTGCTTGAGCCCACTGTGCAGCCAGTTATCAATCCATTCACTGAGGAGAGAGGCTTCACTTCCCTCCAAAACTGTGGGCTGGAGACCCTGAGATGCTGAGACGATAATTAAGCAACATAGAGAAGAGAGAAGTTTTAATCTAAGTCATGTGGGTGAGGGAGTGGTGAAACTGCACAGGGGATTTTCTCAGGACAGAAGCCTTAGTCTGACAGGAATGGGAAGAAAACTAGGCAATGACACAGATGCTGCAGTGGGAGGTTTTATGTTTTATTTATATTGAAATTAGATTATATTTTATTAATCTAATTAATGAAATTAGATATTTAATTTACAAATTTACATTGTAGAAAGTACTTTCTATCTTCTCAATTAATCAATCTGTAGAAAAACAGTCTTGGATTTTCTTAGTTATCTATCATTGCTGTAACAGAAATACCACAAGTGGATGACTGTTCTGATTACCTAGTGCTGCTCTAACAAGAATGTACCACAAATGGGATGGCTTGAACAAACAGGAGTTTATTCTCTTATAGTTCAGGAGGCTAGAAGTCCGAGTTCAAAGTGCCCGGCTCTAGGGGCTGTGTGAAAGCCCTTCGACCTTGGGCTTCAGATCTGCCTCTTGCTCCTGGCCCAATGAAGCTGGAGACATCTCTTAGGCAGCTACTGGCTGCTGAAGCTAACAAGCCCAAATTCAACAAACAAATGGCACAGTCCCGATGTTACCAAACCGCATGCAAGGCCATGGATTCAAGTCCATTCAAAGTCCCAGGACTGGCAGAACATGGCAGGCTGCTGAAAATGACTCGGTTACATGCAGGGTTCAAGCATACCATAAAACTAGGAACCATTCCCAAAGCTGCTTCTTATATATGGGAAGTAGACCACATACTCAAATGCAGCTACTCAGCTGCTCACAGTAGATTCCACCATGGAGTTGATTGCTAGTCTCATTATGGGGAATACTACGTCCAGCTGCCCAGCACTCAACCAGGTCTACCCAAGTTGACACACAAACTTAACCACCACAATGACTTTAATAAACAAATTTATCTATTCACAGTTTGTTATTGTTATGTGCCATCGAGTCAGACCCAACTCATACAGACCCCTCCTTGGGTTGCTGAGGCAGTATCACTATGGAAGTAGATTGTCCAACCTTCCTCCCGAGGAGTGGCTGGTAGGTTTGAACCACCAGCCTTGTGGTTAGCAGTCAAGTGCATTAGGCACTATGCTACCAGAGCTCCTGGAAAGTCTGAATTTAGGGCACTGGCCTAGAGGAAGGCTTTCTCTCCCTGTTGGCCCTGGAGGAAGGTCCTAGTCTCCTCAGCTTCTGCTTCTTCATTCCTAGCAGATTATCCATCTTCCCCCATCTCTGCTCACTCAGTTGCCTGTTTAATCTCCTTTATGTCTCAAAAGACATTGACTCAAGACACACTCTACACTAATGCAGCCTCATTAACATAAACCACACCATTCCCAAATGGGATGATAGCCACAGGCATGTTGTTGTTGTTATGTGCCCTCAAGTTGGCCCTGACTCATAGTGACCCCTATTTGAGTTGCCAAGGCAGTATCACTACAGAAGTAGGTTGCCTAACCTTCCTTCTGAGGAGTGGCTAGTGGGTTTGAACCACCAGCATTCTGGTTAGCAGTCAAGTGCCTTAGGCACGATGCTACCAGAGATCCTGCCACAGGCATAGAGTTATGATTTACACATTTTTTGGGGACATAACTCAATCCATAAAGAGATGTTCCAGCCCCACTTTTGCTGGAACTGGGAACGTACGTAGGGAAGGGAGGAGTTAACTGGTGTCCAGGTGTTCTGGTTACCTAGTGCCACTCTGACAAGAATATACCACAAATGGGATGGCCTTAACAAACAGGAGTTTATTCTTACAATTTGGAGACTTTAAGTCCAAGTTCAAAGTGCCAGGCTCTAGGGCCTGAATGAAAGCCCCTCAACCTTGGGGTCCAGCTCTGCCTCCTGCTCCCGGCCCATTGGAGCTAGAGGTGTTTCTTCACTCAGACACCTGCTGGTTGCTGAGACTGAGAAGCCCAAGGTTGACAAGTAAAGAGGCATAGTCCCAACGTTACCAAACCACATGGCAGGCCATTAACTTAAGTCCATCATATGTCCTAAGGTCAGCAGAGCATAGCAGGCTCCTTAGCAATGACACAGTTATGTGCATGGTCCAAGCATGCCATACGCTAGAGAGTATTCCCAAAGCTGCTTCTTATATATGGGAAGCAGACCACGTGCCGAAAGTACCTACTCAGCTGCTTGTGGTAGATCCCACCAAGGAGTTGATTGCCAGTCTCTTCATGGGGAATAACTACCACCAGCTGCCCAGCCACTCATCTAGGCCCAGCCAAGTTGACACAAAAACAACCACCACAGTGGGGGTGGGCTATTTTCGCTGTATCCTCACCTAATATTGATAGGAACACAGGCACATTCAGACATCAGTTGCAGAAAGGGAAGTCAGAGGTTCTTGAATCACAAAATGGGACATGATCAAATCTTGTGTCACTCAGTCCCACACAAGGCAGCAATCTCAAACTGTAGAAGAAAAGAATCGTGAAGAAATTCAGATCAGTCACTACAAGTGTTGACACTCTGAAAATGTGCAAATCCAAAGAATTCCCATAATGTGGTTGTGTCCCCTCTGCTACAAACCTTCTCCTATGTCAGCCCTCCCCACCCCACCCCCAACCCCCAGAGTCTTGCCATTAGAAACTGGGAGAGAAACATCAGAGCCCTGGGTACTATCACTGCCTGGAAAAGTACAAAAACAGGATCTGGTCAGAGCTCACAGGAGATGAAAACTAGGAGAATGTGAATTATGGGGTGAGAGGATGCCCCCATAGATATCCATCTACACTGTCCTAAGGGTCTCAGGATCAGCCTCCCTCCCTCCATGCTTACTTGCAGCTGGACTGTAGTTCCTTCCTTTTCCACCTGTGGGGAGAAAGCATTCTGTGAGAGATTGGGAGGAGGCAGGACCTTGAGGTCCCAGAAGAGCTGGGTAGTCCTGGACACCAGGAAAGGTCCCAGACCGGGACTGCAGACCCAGAGCAGGATAAGGAAACACAAGGAAAGATGTACAGGGACTGGACCAACCACCCTCCTGGGAATCTCTTCTCAGTAGGAATTTCCCCTGTGACTACTGAGAATCAGGTCTCCATCACTTGAGCCACTAAGGTGAAGATTTACCCTTCATTTTCACATGTGCTTTACAGAAGAGCAGTTGTTAGCATGCAGGGTCTGAGACTAGGTGAGCACATGTGTGGATGGTGCCTTGCCCAATGAGGCAGGACTACAAGGCAAATCACCTGCCTGCGACTTGAAACCACCACTGGGACAAGAAAACTCGGACCCCACCCCCTTCTATACCTGAGCTCTTCTTCCACCAGAAAACAACTCCAGCCACCACAGCTCCAGTGGCCACAAGGAGAACCAGGCCAACAATGATTGTCACGATGGGGATGTCAGACTGAGAACGGGGCTCTAGGACAGGGAGGAGAGGTGAGAGGGCCTGACATTGCCGCAATTGGCCAGAAGGCCTCTTGCTATCCCTGAGAGGAGACTCCACCCTCATCAGCCTCCTTACCCCATCTCAGGATAAGGGGCTTGGGCAGTCCCTCATGCTGCACATGACATGTGTATTTCTGCTCCTCTCCAGAGGGTACCACCACAGCTGCCCATGTCTGAAAGTTCCCATCCCCTGTAGGTCTGGTCTCCACAAGCTCTGTGTCCTGGGTCAGCTCTTCCCCGTCCCGCTGCCAGGTCAGGGTGATCTCCGCCGGGTAGAAGCCCAGGGCCCAGCACCTCAGTGTGACCTCTTGTTCAGAAATGGGATGGTGAGCCACATGTGTCTTTGGGGGTTCTGAGGGAAAGAGAAGATATAAGAACTTTCATTACCTCCCATAGGCCACCTGAGCAGGATTCATGTGATCATCTTGAGAATGGACAGGGCAATTGGGGGAGGGGAGAGCATGCAAAACCCAGACCCCAGCCTGTTACAGGGATCTGGGACAATCTATTCCTTGTAAAGTTATAAAAATCAGGGTGAGGCAGCCCAGAATAGGATGTTCTGGGTATCTGAGGGGAGAGGAGGGATTTCTAGTTTTGACTTGAGTGGGTGAGAAACTCTGAAAAACTGGAATCAGACCTTCAAATTCATTGGGTATGGGGCAGAGAACAAAGTTTATCAAGGAGAGCCCCTGGTGGTTCTTAAGGTAGATTTCAGGATCAAGGTGGATTTCAGGATTAAAGGATACTGCTAATCATTCAGGAACCACCTTCCCTATTATCCCCAGAGAGAGTGGATCCCTTAACTGTCTCTGAGAGAAAGGAGGGCTCCACTGGGCAAGTTGCTCTCTGGTATAGGATCTGGAAATCTGGGCTAACTCCTCACTCTCCACCCTCATGGGAGGGGTATCCTGACATCTATCCTACTTTCCTCCCTTCCTTTTGAGAGGCCAGGAGAGCAGAAATAGTCCTAGTTCCAAGGGAGTTCAGGGAAGTACCCTAGGGCCCCTCCTACCTGTGCGAAGCAGAGTCTCTTTCCCTTTCTCCAGGTATCTGTGAAGCCACTCCAGGAACCTGCCCTCCACAAAGTAGGCCCTGTAGTACTCTGCGGAACCGGCTTCATCCCACTTGCGCTTGGAGATCTGAGCTGTGGTGTCTGCGGCAGTCCAGGAACGCATGTCCTCGTTCAGGGCGATGTAATCAGCACCATCATATGCTTGCTGATTGTATGCACGAAGGAGACGCCCGTCGGGCCCGATGTCGCAGCCATACATACCCTGGTAGGTGTGAGACCCTGGCCCAGCCCCTGCTGTCAGCCCAGCCTTGGTGGTCAGCCATGCCTCCCACCAGCTCTGACTGGTCAAAACCCCACCAAAACAAACCAAACACACTGCCATCAAGTAATAGTGACCCTATTTAGGACATAGTTGTTGTTGTTATGTACCGTGGAGTCGGACCCAACTCCTAGCGACCCCTCCTTGGGTTTCCCAGGCAGTATCACTATGGAAGTAGATTGCCCCATCTTCCTTCCGAGGAGTGGCTGGTGGGTTTGAACCACCAGCCTTCTGGTTAGCAGTCAAGTGTCTTAGCCACTATGCTACCAGAGCTCCCTTAGGGCACAGTTGTTGTTGTTGTTATGTGCCTTCGAGTCAGACCTGACTTATAGTGACCCCTCCTTGGGTTTCCGAGGCAGTATCACTACGGAAGTAGATTGCCCAACCTTCCTTCCGAGAAGTGTCTGGTGGATTTGAACTGCCAGCCTTCTGGTTAGCAGTCAAGTGCCCTAGGCACTATGCTACCAGAGCTCCCTAGGGCATAGTAGAACTGCTTAATTAGGTTTCTGAGGCGTTAAATCTTTATAGAAGCAATCTTCCTCATCTTTTTCTTCAGAGTAGCTGATGGGTTGGAATCACCCACCTTTTGGTTAGCAGCCAAATGCTTTAACCACTATGCAACCAGAGCTCCTTGTTGTTCTTATGTGCCCTGGAGTCCAACCTGCCTCATAGCAACCCCTTTTTGGGTTTCCGAGGCAGTACCACAACCGAAGTAGATTGCCCCATCTTCCTTCCAAGGAGTGGCTGGTGGATTTGAACCACCAGCCTTCTGGTTGACAGTCAAGTGCTTTAGGCACTATGCTACCAGAGGTTATTTGGTTGTAAACTGAAAATGAAACTGGAACAAAAGCCCAGGGCTCTTCTTTGGTCTAAGGGTCCTCCAGGTCTAAGGGCCTCGGGGTGAACTTCAGACCTGAAGACTCAGGCCACCCACCCTGGGGAACTAGGGACCTCTTGACCTGCGACCTGGGCAGGCCATTACTCACCTGAGTCGCTCTGGTTGTAGTAGCTAAGCAGGTTCTTCAATTGCACTCGGTAACTCTGTTCGCGGTCTTTGGCAACCCAAGTACTGTCATCCCAAAAATCAGACTCCATGAGCTGCATCCAGGACGCTCGAGGCTCAGCCCTGGGATTCTCAACATCGCTGTCGAACCGCGCGATCTGTGTGTCGTCCACGTAACCGACTGCGATGAAGCGGGGCTCCCCTTGGCCCGGCCGGGACACGGAGGTGAGGAAAAACCTCAGGGAGTGGGGACCTGGAGGCAGGGAGCGGCTGAGACCACTGACCCCTCTCCCCGCTTGGCGTCCCAGGTCCAGGGAGGGGAGCTGAGGAGTAAGGAGGAGGCTGGTAAACGGAGAAGGAGCAACTGGAGGAGCTGGGCCTGGATACATGGGTGGGAAGAGGAGGGGGCGGGAGACGCGGGAGAAGGGTGATTCTGGACGGAATGGGCTCCAGGCGGCTTTGGGCCAGTGACGGCGGGGGTGCGGCTTCACCGAGGGTCCTGTGTCCCACTCGGAGGTTCCCTTGCTCCTCCCTCCGCAGAGGCCCTTTCTCTCCCGACCCCGCACTCACCTGCCCGTGTCTGGATCAGGCCCAGAGCCCCCCAGAGCAGCAAGAGGAAAGTCCGGGGTATCATATCCCGGGTGCTGGACTTCTACCATGGATCCGCTAACCTGAGGTTCCAAGCGGAATTTAAGATCAGGAACTGCGATTACTGTGATTGGCTTCCCCAGAGATCTCTGATCCAATTGGCGTGAGAAGTAACCTGTGTCATGTGTGTCCAGGCAAAAGAAGGTGACACAGGTTTGAAAGGACAAGTGAAAGTCAGGGAGAGCAAGTAATCAAAATGGTACCTCCCAACTCCTGACACAGCAATAGGAGCCCGAGAACCAAGCCAGGATACTGACTTCATTCACAGAGTCCTGGGCCAGGAACTGCTTAAGTCAGAGGAGGTTGTTCCTTTCAAAGTCCCTGTTGTGTGCCAGGGAATGGATTCAGACCATCTTTATAAAACAGCAGAACTGCACCACAGGGTTTCTTAGGCTGTAATCTTTAAAGGAGGAGATCACCTGCAGAGCATCTGGTGAGTTCCAACCACAGGCCTTTGGATTAGCAGCCAAGAGTGTAACCAACCATTGCACAACCAGGCTCCTTGGAATTTCTACTCACGTTAACAAATTATGAGAAACCCAAAGAGATTTTGTTTATGTGAGTTATTTCTACTGATATTAAACCACATGAGACATTGAAACAGATTTAAAATTATTAAGTTAATTTAAAATAAGATTTTTAATTGCTTAAATGTTAGTCGATAATATTTTAATGAAAAACAAATATTTTCCAAAATAAAATAATGTAGAGAGAAGATTTTACATTTTTGGCCATTACTTTCAATAGTAAATGACTTCTGTGTCAAAAGAAGACTTCTAGGTTTTCATATCTGTTTCTGCAATTATTCTGTGATTTTTTGAGGTCTATACAAAAAAAAAAAAAAAAGGAGTATCACAAAAAACATGAAGTTGGAAAAGGGAGAAGCATTTTTAATAGCTTTCCCAAGTAATTGTGAATGTTCATCTTTGATACTTTACTAGAGCTACAAAGGTGGTAGTTTCTTAAAGGCTAGCTTCAATCAGAAACCCTGTAATTGATCATTTCATATTCTGTTTATTAAAGCTCATACACACATGTTGCACATTGGATGAATCTTGTACTGATGCATCAGTTTTTTTAAGAAAATTTTGCATTAGTTCACCAAGTGTGCAGATCTTCTAATGTTGACAAATTGTACTACAAGATGACTGAAAGTCACATTTGTTAGTATTCCCACTGATCAAAGCAGAAAAAAGGTGGAAATTTTGGAAAGCTATCTAACTTGTGGTGGATACAAGTTTTCTAATATTGTAATTTCTTGAGAGGTTCCATTTCATCATTGGTAATAATGCTGTCAGTTGGTTTCCATGAAGTGGCAATCTTTCTAGTTGTCATTTTTGAGAAAGTGCCAAATATCCAAGATAGTTTTTCTGTCATTCATTCTTTTAAGTAAAAATGATGTCCCATAGAAAAGAGGCTAGTTCTACTCACACAAATTATTTACTTTGAGACAAACATCATACTATGGAATGGAGAAGTGCTTTATATATTGTCCCCACTTGATTTCACAGGAAATTAAAAGATGTGGATTGAGGATGGTGATTTAATACAGTTAACAATTTTTAATGCTTCAATCAGTACATCTTTAAGAGAAGCTGGTTTTGTTTTTATTTTTGTTTGTCCTGCAAATACAAGGGATGATTAAGAATTCAATTACTTTTTCAGTTTGATGAGACAGCTTCAATTCTTGCTAAGTTCTCAGCTGATTTACCTTAGTGCAAATATCAACACAATAAGAAAGACTATTAATTTCTTTTTATTGTTGTTGTTACATGCCGTTGAGTCAGACCTGACTCATAGCGACCCCTCCTTGGGTTTCCGAGGTGGTATCACTACAGAAGTAGATTGCCCCATCTTCCTTCTGAGAAATAGCTTTGACTACATGGATCTTGTGAAAGAATCTTAGTGACTCCACAGAGAACTGCTGTTCTGAGTAAACTGGGGAATCCCCTATTGGCCCTGCCTCTTTTCATCCTCTTCACTTCCCAGAATCCTTCTCTCTGAGCTGGACTCTCTGCCTCCCAAAGCTTAGCTTAGGCTTCTTCCCATGGGTTCTTCTAGAAGAGAATTTACTCCCTTGAAATTCAGTGCCAGAAAGTGTCCTCAGTCAGAAAACTGAGGTGGAGGGAACACTGTTTGTCTTTTGAAATTGAGAACAGTTGTGTCTGAAAGCATCAGAGAGAGATTCACTCCTTATGTGTTTTGATTTTGTTATATATAAGCTTAATGAATATCCATATCCCAGACTATTGGAAACCAAACGTAGTCTGTGTGATAAATAATAAATTCATATAAATGAGTCTATGGCACCTAACTTGAGGACCATAAACCATCAAGAGCACTCCTGTCAATAGAACTTTCTGTTATGAAGGGATTGTATATGTGTGCTGTCCCATACAGTAGCCACTGGCCATGTGTGGGTATTGAGCACTTGAAATGTGGCTACTGCAACTGAGCACTTGAAGTTTTAATCCTACTTAATTAATTTAAATGGCCACACCTGGCTACTAGCTACCATATTTGACAGTACATATATACAGTGTTCTGAATTTTCAATCTGTCACATGAAATATACTGTGAGACTTATAGATTAAAGTATTTTCAAATTATCCTTATTGAAATGCCATGATTTGTTGATGTGCATTTTAGACATATCCTTAAAATACAGGAGGGATTAAAAAAAACTCACTTCCGTGAAGTTGCATCCAACTCACAGCAACCCCTCCTTCAGTATCCAAGGTGTTATCGCTATGGAAGTAGATTGCCCAATCTTCCTTCTGAGGAGTGGCTGGTGGGTTTGAACTGCCAGCCTGCTGGTTAGCAGTCAAATGCCTTAGGTACTATGTCACTAGAGCACCTGGGGCAAAAAAAAAAAAAAAAAAAAGAAGCAGAATGGGTATAAAAGTTTAATTAATAGGCATTTAACAACTAGAGTGTACAGACATGATTTATCACCATGAGATTATAAATGTTCAAAAATGCCAATAACCAGAGAAATCCTTGTTTTGTATTTCCTTGAGACTCTTGATGTTACTTTTCTTTATTCTTAGGAGGAAATAAATCTTCACTTATTCATGGGAAATTGCTTATTGATAGGAAATTGCTTATTGATACCTACCACACATATGGAATGCCATGTAGGTCTTGCATACATACATATATGTGTGTGTGTGTTTGTGTGTAATTACAGAACAAGAGATTCAAAGCTAAGAATTGCACCACCTTAGAATTCCTTAACTATTTATCTATTGCTCCTTTTTCTCCAAAGTTCAAATAATTTTATTTTTCTTGATGCTCAGATCCCTCTTTCCTCATCGTCCCTACCTAGATGAAAATATATGGGAAATTTTTAGAATTGTCAAGTGTAAAATTCTCTAACCATGACCCTAGATGAAAAACTGAAAAAAATTGATGGGCTGATGGAAGTTTTGACTAGATGCAAATTGAAAACTTCTTATTGTAACCATAAACTCACAGATCTATAAACGCTATCCCATAATTGTATCAAGACACATTAAAATTATGGAACAAGAACAAAATTATATATAAATATATCCAATTACAGAATAAGAAATAGCTTTTGGAAATTAAACATATGATCACAGACATTAAAAAAAATGAACAGATGAAGTGGGTGATAAAAGTCATACTTCCACAAAACCAAAAGTCCAAACTCACTGCCATCTAGGCAATTCCAACTCATAGTGACCTTGTCTCACAGGAAGTCAAAAGCAATGAAAGCAGACTGCTTCATCTTTAACCCACTGAGCAGCTATTCAGTTTGAACCACCAAACTTTTGATTAGTAGTCCAATGCTTTAACTACAGCGACAGCAGAGCTCCTCTATACTTCCACAAACCCAACCAAACCAAATTCACTGCCGTGGAGTTGATCCGACTCATAGTGAACCCTCTTTGGGTTTCCAAGGCAGTATCACTACCGAAGTAGATTGTTCAATCTTCCTTCCGAGGAGTGGTTGGTGGGTTTGAACTGCCAGCATTCTGGTTAGCAGTCACATGCCTTAGGCACTATGCCACCAGAGCTCCCAATACTTCCACAAGACAGTACTAAATGGAAACATGTGAACAGAAGAGAAGAACTATAAATGTATTAGACTACCTATTAAGGAATTTCAACAACCTTAGAATACAAGTTTCAACAGGAATAGATATAGGAAATAATTAAAATTAATTCTGGAAAATGTCTTAGAATTTACAGACAAAAGTGGACAAATTCTTATTCTAGTTAATGAACCGCACCCCTCACCCTCCCCAAAAAAATAAAAAAACTCACCACCTTTGAATCTATACAGTTAACAATTTTTAATGGTTCAATCAGTACATCTTTAAGAGAAGCTGGTTTTGTTTTTATTTTTGTTTGTTCTGCAAATACAAGGGATGATTAAGAATTCAATTACTATTTCAGTTTGATGAGATAGCCTCAATTCTTGCTAAGTTCTCAGCTGATTTACCTCAGTGCAAATATCAACACAGTAAGAAAGACTATTAATTTCTT